TCAAATGCTATTGAACTAAGAAAAGTGCATACCAATGTCGTATGTAACTTTAGAGATGGTATCGAATGCAAGGAAACGACACCTCTGGCCATTCCGTTGGGTCGTTTGTAAAGTCACAGATACTGTACGGACAATACGGCTCAGTTTTTCTATGTATCTTGCTCTGTTGAACAGCAAAAGTGACTTTACGTAGGCTATACTGGATTTACACCCAGTGTTGCCAACTAATTTTCAGAGAAAGTTGCTAAAGGAAGGTCGATTTGTTGCTAAAAGTTGCTAAATGACATTGTGATGTCATTGCTCAATGACGTCATTGCGTAATCAGGACGCAAAATTGTCACATTATCAAAACTCAGCAAAAAATATATTTTAGATATGTTCATTTAGATTTGTTTTTAAAATAACATGCATGATATAATATTAAAATATAAATACCTGTATTTTTAAATACATTGAATTATTGAAAACGTACACATTTTTAAATGATTACAATTTAAGTTTTTTTAGTAGCTAGTAAACTCTACACATTCTCAACTAATATGCTTTAAGCAGTGTATTAGTAGTTAGTTAGTATGCTACACTCTAAGAGACATCTGTAAAAATAAGGCACAATCTACTGTTAATATGAAAGAATTTTCCGTAATGTTTTTTTTTACCTGTATTTTAAATTACGCATCGTGATTTCGGGTTACAGGGTTACAAAGGATGGTGGATAATGGATAATGTCCTGAAAGATTTTCCATTTTTCTTACTGTGTACTAACTGATCAACAATCGCAGGTACAAGCTACTAACAAAGTGTATCATAAATGAACAATTATTCAGTTATTCAATTATCACATTATTCAATTATTATTAAATTGAACAATTGCAAATAGCAGCTAACTCAATTCATGTGATGTGTGTACTGCTAGGCATCTGTGGTTTCCTCTTTTTGTGTAATTTGGATGGACAATGTGTGCCTTTTTATTGTCTGAGTCCTTATCAAAAGTTGCTAAAAGTTGCCAAATAAATGTTTAAAATTGCTCAATTTGTTGCTAGGTGCTTTTGGAAGAAAAAGTTGCTAGGGTAGTCTGAAAAGTTGCTAAATTTAGCAACAAAATTGCTAAGTTGGCAACACTGTTTACACCATGCATTTCCTGTCAGAGGGAAAGACACGCCCCCAGCTATGACACGACCCGACCAAGTCCATGGTTGACACCCTCTCATTAGCATGTGGCGCAGAGGAAAAATAAATGTGGAACTACATTCAGAAATAAATGAGTGATTAAAAGAAAACAGTTAGGATGAGTTTAGCATTTCCTTAAACATTTTCCATTTGCCCAATTTATTTAATTTATTTGGTTACTTTGATCACACGTTTAATTATTTATATATGCATTTAAACAAGAATATGTGTATTTATATACACATTTATTTATTTATTTGCGTATTTATTTATTTATTGTTTTTGCAGGTTTCGTCCTCCATAAATCTGTACAGATTATGTTACTATATTAGGAAGTGAGATGGGTGAGAGCTGCAGAAAAACTCAGATACCAGTTGACAAGAGCTCATGTGGAAAAGTTTGACTTCCTAGAGTGCTTTGTATTTCTGAGAGAGAGAAAAAATAGAAATCAAAAGTCAGAAGAGTACCACTATCTCTCATATTTAAAGGAAACTGCATCTGTTGTCAGGTTGTTGTTTTTATCAAATGAGGCTCTTTCTGCACTTTGGCACACTAGCAGCTCAGGTTGAGCGTTTCATTGAGGTTTGCCATTTTCTGCTTTATTTAGGTCAGTGTCACTTTATGGTGTCTGGACTCAATCTTTGACGTCCAGTGTGTTCTACACACTTCACATGTTCAAGATTCAACAAGAAGGAGGATTTTACATGTTAGCTTGAGAGTTTGAGAAAACAGTGTGCATAGTTGGATTATTTCTTGAATTTCTGTTGTTCACGCCACACGTGTTTGACGTTTTTGGACATATTTGGAGGACTATGTGTCACACCCCTGGATTGGTTTTGCTGTGTTTTTCCTCCCCATGTGTTCCGTGTCCCCGTTAATTAGTCATTCCATGCACCTGTGTTCCCCTGATTGCCCTATGTTTATTAGCCCCAGTCTGTGTTGTCTGTCTTTGTCGGAAATTGTATGTCTACCCCTGAGTCTCCTGTCTGCTCCATGATTAATGGATTAAAAGTACTGTTGTGAGTTTACGCCTTAGGGAAGTGTGACAGAATCTTCGACCTAAAACAGTTTATTGTGTGTTTCCCCTCCATTTTGTTTCTGTTTTTCTCTCAGTGTTTATTTCTGTAGTGTTTCCCTTATGGATCTCCTCCTTCGCCCCAAATTCATTCTCCTCCTGCTGGAGCAGGGGGAAAAATTGCTCGAGGGTCATACCAGACTGTTTCTGGCCATTGACCATCTCACCACCTACCTGGACGACGTGCTCTGCGCGTTCTATGACGCCAGCCTCAACACTGCGTGCAGAGCACCGTTGTCCGAAGAAGGCCCTCGAGCGGAATTTGCCGACCTTTGTGGAGTGGACACTCCGAGAAGTGGATCGCCGTTCCCCGCTGGTTTCCAGGAGTATATCGCCAGTGCCACTCCCGACCCAGAGCCCAGTCCACCATCTCCCCGATGCATGGAGCGCATGCCCGAGCCCACCACTGACGGAGAGCCAGAGCCCACCGCGACCGACGAGCCATCGTCAGAGAGAGCGACAGAGCTGAGGATCGCCGTGGAGCCAGAGGCTGTGACGTCCGTCAAGGTGTGTGAGCCGGCAACAACGCCTGCCACGAGGGAGAAAGCCACGAATGGGGTGAGCGCGGAGAGGAGCTCCCCCCCCTGCACCGCGGCTGAGGGTGAGCTGAGTATGGCGCTGCAGAAGTGCCAAAATGAAGAGGAGTGGGCTCCAGTCCCCGAATCCAGTTCTGAGCGCCCTCCAGTGCCAGCTCCTAGAAGGCGCCCTTTAGTGTCCGCTCCTTCAGAGCGCGGTCCTATTCCAGCGTTCAGCCTAGAGGGGCCTCCTGATCCAAAGTTTAGCCGAGACAATATCAGTGATGGAAGGAGATTCTGTTACTCTACACACCGATGTTACTGAAATAAAGAGATGTGGATGTTTCTGCTTAAATTCAGAGAATCTTCTGTAATCTACAATCAGATCCGCTCTATATGTGAATGTAAAGAATATAATGAAATATTCAGAGGCAGACTACAGATAGATGAACAGACAGGATCTCTGACCATCACAAACATCAACAAATTACACTCTGGACTTTATAAACTACAGATCATCAGTGGAGTGATCAAACACATGAGCTTCAATCTTGCTGTCTATGGTGAGTAAACGGCAATAAAACTAATAAAAAGATTTATTCAGTCTATGTGGGATAGTGAAGGCTGTGTCAGGAATTGGCTTAATGTGAAATTTTTCATAATGAGAAATTTATATAATTTTGTATATCAAAAACTGCTGCATCAAGATACCACATTGCCCATGCATGAATAGAATTCGGTCCAGGGTGTTTTGACATACAATTCTTATTTATTGGTCTATGAATACGAAGGATCTTTACACAAATATTTTTCAATAATTGATTGTTTCCTGAATTGTATTTTGTTTCTTAGTTTTTCTTACTGTTCAAGTCAGTGTTTTTCCTCGTAACCCTTCGGTATCCGAAAGATCATCAGGTCAGAATTGTTCACTGCTGTGTTCAGCTCGACTGCAACATGAATTATTACAAATACAATTTTTCATTCACATACTCATTCACTTTGATGAAATGGTAGTAATAAACTGTTAAATGTCTTAAAAAAAGCAAAAACTATGCAGTTGAAGAGTTATAGAAAAAAAAAGTTATTATATTATTTGATATCAATGTTTATAAAACTGAAACGTGTTCAAGATGTAGTTCATTGTAGATGAATCTGCCCACTTACTACATACTAAAACATGAAATTGTTTTTCTTGACACAATCATTGACACAAGAGTATTTAAAATAAATGTTTGATTACCTGTCTGGATGTGTATCAACTATTTGTTTATTAGTATGCCTGTTTCTAGCATATTGTCTGTTTTTAGTACTTATAAAGCACATATTAATGCCTTATTCTGCATTATCATATTGTAAATCCCTTACTCCATACCTAAACCTAACTACTACAACAACTACCTTACTTGCGGTTAAGCAGCAAATTAGGAGTCTGAGGGAGAACGTTTAGTTAATAGTGAGTACGTGTTCCCTTATCTAAAGCATTACCATTTGTTCAGTATTTTCTCAATTAGAAGAATAATCTGTTTTATTTCAGTCACTTACGTTTCAAGACAATTGAAAGCAGTTTGTCATGATATTGTGTGTGTGAACCAGAACATGTTGATGTTTTCGAGTCAGATCATTCGTTATTGAGGTCAGTAAATGTGGCATCTGAGCTGAATGCATGTGGTTTAATACATGCAATGTTAGACAGTGTGTGTGTGTGTGTGTGTGTTCATGAGAGTGTGAGATGTTGACAAGTTTATTCTTTCAACCACAAATTAACCCTCTGAAAGCCTGTTAGACTTAGAAATGACCTGAAATGAGTTTTCTGATGAAGAGCAATCCAGAATGGTGTTGAGAGGTTAATGCCGTTTAAGAAGATAAAGAACGCATTAAACTTTGTCCAGAGAGTGCAGTCAGAAATGAAAAAGGGAACAAAGACTACTAAAACCAGTTCACTTTTCATTTAGCAGTCTTTGCTTAGGAAATAGCTGTACTTTTTTGTTCAGGAAGTCGCTCTTCTGTGTCTGAAGTGACTCTCGGCTGGACGTCTGTATCACTATGTCCTCTCATCTGTGTGCTCTGATCCTGTTTGTTCTATGCGGTGAGAAACTTTTAATCACAAATGTGGTGTATAAACACAAGTGCATTTCCACAAAATAAAAAAACAAATGCACATTTTACCTTTTAGGGGTGCATGATTATGTTTGAGGAAATTAGATTTATATGTCTCCGGTAATGTGTTTTTATTTCTTCTGCAGGTGTGTTTGCTGGTGATACAGATGTAATGAAGTCAGTATCAGTGACTGAGGGAGATTCTGTCACTCTAAACACTAATGTTACTGAAGTACAGAGAGATGAGCAGATACTGTGGATGTTTGGACCTAAAGAGACTCGTATAGCTGAACTCTATAAACGCAGCATTGATATGTTTAGCAGTGATGTGACATTTGGAGACAGACTGCAGTTGGACTCTTTCACTGGATCTCTGACCATCAGAAACCTCAGAAGCACAGACGCTGGACTTTATAAACGACAGATCCGGAGCGACAGAGAGAACTCGGACAAGACATTCGATGTTACTGTCTATGGTAAGACAAATATGACTTCAACTCTTAGATTTTATATAAATGGCCCTGAAGGTAATAATTGGTCTGGCAGTGAATGGAATATGACAACACTAAAAATTAGGGTTTGTTAAAAATAAAATGTATTTCCCAACTATTTCATGCCAGCAAACTGTAACCCAATATCCTTTCTTAAGATGGGCTTTATTTTACGTATGCCAAACCTCTCTCAGCCATTTGTTCATGCCAAACAAATCTAATTAAACCTGTGCAAAGAATCACGGGAGCAAAGTGTTGTATCCTCTGAAATCCTTCAATGAGCACATTTCAACATGGAATATACATTTTGTTTTTCAACTACATATGATTAATTTTCTAAAAGCCCAACATCATTAGACACATGTATTAACAACCTTTTTTTTTTTTTTTTTTTTTTCTCAACCCCATAACGAACAAAATGGGATTGGTTTAAAAAGGATTTTACACAGAACTTGTTATAAAATAAACATCTACTTACTGCTCATGTGTCCCTGATAACAATTTAATGATAACAAATATAGCATTTATCACATTTTTACAGGACTGAAGCTAAAAATACACAAATTGTGTCTATGGTCTTATTTTTTTATTTTTTTTTTAGAAGTTTAACTAAAACCACAATTTTACTGTTTTAGTCCTTAACATGTCAGATAGTATTCAGCAAGAAATGCTTTAATTCTTAATTGTCTTCCCTATATTTTTCCAAAAATATTAATGTGTCAAGGTGTGATGGGTTTGAAGACTGTAACGCATTTGAAGGGAAACATTACCTTCACTTTAAATTTTTGGTTTTGTTTCGCTCTCATTGTCCCCTTATTTCTGGGTCAAAATATCTGCATGCACAACATTGTCTTTCTGCTGCAAATTTGTGCAATTTCTGATGTAGGATGCTTGTCAAAGTTTAAGTGGACATAATCAAAAATACTATTTATAACAAATATGAGTTGTCATGATTTTGGTAAGTATATATTTACTGAAACCATGACTATTTTTATTTTCATTAAAATTATTAATACATTTAGTAACTCAACCCCATCACAAGTTTACAACCCCAACAACGAGAAATGCATACAGTGATGGACAAAATTATTAGAACACTAGTATTTTCACCAGCTAAAAATGGTTTTAAGTCAGTTATTTCTATCTTTGCTGTAATGTGTCAGTAGGAAACTGTCAACGTCTCCAAGATGCTTCAAGAGACCTACCTGCAAATCTACCTGAAAAACTATGTGCAAGTGCACCGAGGGCAAAGACTGATTTAAACACAAAGGATGCTCACACCAAATGCTGATTTAATTTAGTTAATAGAAGAACTGCTAAAGAAAAACTGTTTTTGACATTAGATTTGACAGCATTTTTACACAAGTGCTTAACTTTTCACAGTACTGTAGGTCTCTTGAAGCATCTTGGAGACGCTGCCACAGTTCTTCTGGATTGAGTCTGTCTCAGTTTATTGTTTTTTCATGTCATTCCAGACAGACTGGATACTGATTAGATCTTTGTGTGGAGCACTGGCTGCTGTCAGTTTTTAGCTGGTGAATATAGTGTTCTAATAATTTTGGCCACCACTGTATAGACTTATTGTTATATTATTTATTGTTATAATTAAACATCATCTACTTTTGGATCCCAGTTAACTTTCTGTTTTTGCTCGCATTACAGCAATATACTTATTTAATTTAAATGTTTTTCAGCTCATCTGCCTGTTCCTATCATCACCAGTAACTCTTCAAACTGTTCACCATCATCATCAGGATCATCAGTGTCTAAATGTTCACTGCTGTGTTCAGTGTTGAATGTGAGTGATGTGACTCTCTCCTGGTACAAAGGAAACCGTTTATTATCCAGCATCAGTGTGTCTGATCTCAGCATCAGTCTCTCTCTACCTCTGGAGGTGGAATATCAGGAGAAAAACACCTACAGCTGTGTGCTCAACAATCCCATCAGCAACCAGACCAGACATCTGGACATCAGTCAACTCTGTCACACATGTTCAGGTACATCAGCAGTAAAATTGTCAACCTATTTTCTTTCTAAATGTGCAGTTTATAGCATCTGGATGAAGTTCGACTAAAAGGATTGACCATTGTCTCTTTATTAATTACAGAAGTGTCTGTGCGTTTCTATTTCGTGGCACTTATAAGTGTTTGTGTGCTGCTGCTCATTTCTGCATGTGTGTTTTGCTGCTGCTGCAGGAAATGTGACCAAGAAAAAACAGACGGCAAGTATTACGACAACTGACATGACAAAAATGATTCTTTATGTGCAAAATAGTTTTATGACTAAAAGCCTAAGTTGATGTTTTAACATTTTTATTAGTTATTAAATTAAAAGTATGATTATGCAATGTACATATTGTATACATGAGAAACAACAGAAAGCAGCACCTCATGATAAATACACAACATCTGCTTGTGTTTGTAGATGAGAAAAGTCTGTCAGAATACACACAGATCATCTACAGTCTGCAGATCTGACACAGATCTCTGATCATCATCCACAATACACCACAACTCATCAGGACTGATCCATGTTTAATGTGACTGATTTCATTTCACAGTTATGATGAAGCTTCATGTTCATCTGCTTTCAAAGATAAGTCAACTGAGCTGCAACAAGAATTATAAATATAGTTTATCAGTCACATACACATTTTGAAGAAATGGTATTGATGCATAAGCCTGAAAGAATAACATGCAGTTTTACGATTACAGATTTATACTTTAACAGTATGTACATAAAAATTTAAAATACATTTGATACAGTGAAATGAAACATGTTCAACATGTAATTTAGTATCAATTACAGATGAATTTGCCCAGTTAAATATGAATTGTACTAAAACAGTGTCACAGACACACAAGAGTGCTGATAGGATATTAGTTCAATAAACTTTTTTTTGAACAACCATGTGGATTTTTTTTTTAAATTTTAATTAAATGTTTCAAGTAAATATCTCGGCAATCTTCTGAATTTTAATCAATGTTGTGTAAAATGTTCCTTAAGATATTGGAAAGAGACTCATTATTCTGTGTGTGTGTGTGTCAGATCTTGTATTATTGAGGTCAGTAAATATGAGCTGAATGTGGTTTAAAGTGCTGCGAGGATCTTCAGCTAATGCACACGGTGTTAGACGATGTGTGTTTTTGTTTGTTCATGTTCATGAGAGTGTGAAATGTGGTCAGTTTCCTTTCACAACCACACATAAACCCTCTGAGAACCTGTTAGACTCCTTATAAAAAATATATATTTGATAAATATCTGTAATGAGAGTTTCCAGATTCAGAATGATGTTTTCTCTGATCCTGTTTGTCTGGAGCGGTGAGTAACTCTTTTAATCAGTAAAGGTTAGTTAAACACAAATGCATTTCAACCACAAGAGATAAAAAAAAAAACTTGTAATGGTAAAGCTCTATGAAATTAAATCTAGTCAGTTTTGTTGTCTAATAATATTGCATTTTTATGATTTGCAGGTGTGTTTGGTTATAGAAGTGAAGTCAGTATCAGTGATGGAGGGAGATTCTGCCACTCTAAACACCTATGCTTAAAGCATAAATAAAACATATATATATATATATAAAGCTGAGCTTGTTATCCACATACCTTATTTCAGGCATTTAACCAAAAATCCATTAAAACACACACACACAACTTTTTTTTTCTCTAGGTTATAAGAATTTGCATAGTTAATTTCAGTTGAAGCGGATTCAACTGGTTCAAATTCCACATCAATCCAGTTTTGTTATCAGCCTGAGAAATGTGAATTAGAAATTGCAATAGTCTAATTTGCATAACTGATTTCATGTTCAGTTGACTTCATGTAAAAACAAAGTACAAGACGTAGATAAATGTTTTCTTTGAGCTGAAGCTTATTTGTATAGTATGAATGTAATTTGGACGTACTACATTCACCATGTTTTTACTGTCATGTGACCTACCTTTCACAAAAACCTTTGAACTTGATACCCTTTTTTTGGGGGAGTAATTTTGTATAATGTTCTGCACTCAGAAAAAAAAGGGTGCAAAATCTGTCACTGGGGCACTATAGACGGTTTCATTGGGCACACGCGCCTGGCCCGAAGTTAACTTCCGGTCTGTGTTTGTTTATCAGTCTGGCTATGGTGCCGGCTACAAACGCAGTTAAAGTTAAGGTGATGATCAGACTGAAGTTGGGCTCAGGTGGTTGTGCTGTGGGACATGTTTCCCATAAATGTATTTATTTGTGGCGCTCGCCACAATATCAAAACTGACCGATTTTCCAAAAGGCTTCGTTGAATAAACACGAGCACGTACTGCACGTTTAAAAATCTAAATGAGGTGCAGGTGTTTTTATATCACTGTATTTCTGAAGGAAGACTATCTTTAGAAAAT